GCTTGATGGTAGAGTCAGAGAACTCCGATGAGAACAACTTCACATATCGAGCTCTACACGACTTCAACTGGACTAGCAGGCCAGCTCCGTCTGAGAACAACAAAGCTGCAGCAGAGAGACATGCTCGGAAGCTCTTCGCCAGTCTCACGAAGAAGAAGACTCAAGAGGCCTACACCGATGTGATCCATCAATACCACAAGCTGGGCCATATCGAGAAGATTCCGCCAGCAGAGGTAAGCTTCTTCCACTATACCCCTCACTTTCCAGTCGAGAAGCCTGGAAGCAACAGATCTACTCGCATTCGACCGGTGTATGATTGGAGGAGATGCAACCCGTTGCAGAGGCTACCACCCCCACAAGATACCACTACGTGGCCCAGTCTATCAACGACTCGTCTCTACCCATGGGTAGCATGGAGCGACTTGAAGAACGCCTACCTCTTCGACAGAACTCCAAAGGCTACAAGGAGAGCTCATGGTTTCATGATCTATGAGATGGACGAGGACGGGTCGGCTACGCTACAGCATTACCACTTTAGGGGTCTCCCCATGGGTTCGAGCTCATCTGCTTCGGCGTTGCAGACAACAACGGGTATCCTAATAGAACTTGCTAACGAAAGGTCGGCTAACGAGCTCTTGAACGGTGCCGACACTGCAGATACACCTATATGGAAGGTTCTGGTCGACAACGTGGTCAACGAAGAAGAGCTTCAAGGTCTACCGGTGGAGAAGTTGTACGGTCCGAGTCCCACTGCCAAGGCCCTAGCTGAGGTCCTGAAGAGGCTTGATGAACGTGCTCGTACTACAACTACACCAGAAGATGACGAGTGCCAAGTCAAGGAAGCCTACAGCGCAGTGAATATGCGTTGGGATACGTTATGGAAGAGCGGCTGCAATCGAGTGAAGTTCGTCGATGATGTGACCACCGGTGCCCAGTCGAAGGCTATCCTATCATCTCTACGAGAAGACGAGAAGACCTGCGCTGCTAGAATCGGCCACACCTTCAACGAGGTTAAGGAGAAAAGAAGTGATGATGATACGAGTGCTGAAGGCTTTGGACTGATATGGACGAGTGCACTGGATGGAGATCAACTAAAGCCCAAGAAGGTGAACGTCCCCGTGCTGTCAGAGGAGGCGACTGATCCCATACGGCTGACGGTTCGTAATGTCCTGTCTCTACTTCATCAAGCTTACGATGTTATTGGTATTCTCACATGGTGTCTACTGCCAATCAAGCTGATACTACGAGAGTGCTACACCAAACGACTCCAGTATGATGATCCAGTTACAGCTCAACAGTCGAAGGAGACGATCAAGGCCATCCAGCAGTTCAACAGGTTAATTGATAGCACTCCCATCAGTAGATTCATCGACCTCTCTCACACAGTAGTGCTGTATGCGGATGCTAGTTCGTTTGGCTTAGGATATGTGATATGCAATGCTAGTTCACGCGGAATTTTCACCGCCAGCAGTAAGCTAGTTCCTTTGCCTGCGATGCCATACTCCATAGTTCGTAAGGAAACACTAGCCCTAGAATATGCGTTGACTGCTCTTATCACTCGCGCTAAAGATTTTCCTTATTCGACGAATCGCGTATTCTATGT